ACATACATACATACATACATTTACATAAATAACAATTTCACACCCTTGTGGTCAGCAAAACAAAAAATTACAAATATCTAATAGTAATAAAAAGAGATTACAACTTCTCAACCAGCAGCTTGTATAAATGCCCCTTATGTATTTTCATATTTCTTCAACAAATCAAATTGTACCAATCTTCCAAATAACTTAATTGAACCAGCCTTTTTATAATTGTTAGCCAAGTTGTTCCTTAACTTTATTCCTTGAACTGAGGTACATCTCTCTTTCAAGTTAGTTTGAATTTTCGGTTTCACAAACATTTCAAATCCTTTAAGACTACAAATACTTTCCCTCTTAATGAAATTTGATTAAATGTTCAAAGGTAATGCGTTTTTGTGAGCCCTATACATAATCAGCAAAACCTTATAATCAACCAACTCATGAAACTTCAACAATTTCAATTGACAAAATAATATATTTGATGGGTGACTATAATATTTCCTGGCTATAATTCTAATGGCTCTTTGTTGCTAAATAAAAATAGAATTTAATTGTTTTACATGCCTTTCCCCAGACTTCAACACAAATCAAATGTGGAACAATTATTGCTTTATGTAAAATAGTCCTTTATCATTAAAAAATTCCTTTAACTTATATAGTACTGCAATCGATTTTACTAATTTTGCTCTTAAGTAATTTATGAGATTTCTAAGTCAAATTTTCATCAATGATGAAGAGAAAATCTGTAGGAGTGTATTACTCAAGATTTGTATTTTCAATAAAAATGTCTAAAATTTGGGAATTTTGTCGCCAATAAAACATAACATTGAGTGACTCTTAAAAGATGACATTTTTGTAGCTGAAGACAAACTCTGGGCTCAGAGACAATGAGATCCTGCCCATTCATGTTGAACGAGTTCAGATTTTTGAGAAAGCTCAACCTTGATGTTGAAAAAAAAAACTGCTTTGAGGTGTCAGTGATATTATTTGGCTTTGTTTCATTAATTTTTTATTTTTTCAGTTCACCGTCTCGTTTATTTTTCTCTTTTTTCCTGTAGCGGAGCTGGGGGACTACAGTGAAACTGAGCATTCTCCTGGTTATCTGTCCGATTTCTGCTTCATCCCCACCCCCCCACAAGACTTCCACAAAGAGGTCTCCAAGCATCACCAGCAGCACAGGTACACTTTAACCTGTAAAGAAATGCTCAAGATTTTATGTGTGGAAAGAAAAACATAAATATAAGTTCTAATTCCCTTTTTAATGTGCATTAAAGAGAACATATCATTCATCTCTGCTTCATTTTTTTCTTTTTCCCCTCCTCTTCTTACAACTCAAACATTACCCTGACCTCCGTGGTGGTTTCTCTCCCACACCCTCGTCCCCACTGGTCCCTCAGTGGTCTATCTCCTGCCCAGGCGGAGTTTAATTATCTGAACACAGCACGAACGTTGGAGCTCTACGGGGTAGAGCTGCACTATGCAAAGGTAAGTAAGGTTTAATCTTATGTGTTTAGGACTAGACACAGTGCGTGCTAAGGTTTACCTCAAACTGGCTCACTCGTTCGCTTCTCACACAAAAACCCACCAGCATCTTGAGTTTGTAACTCTACCCTTTCTCCCAGTGATCAAAGGGAACAGTTCAGTTTCTTAGTTTGTTCCCCGCTCCCTGTCCATGCAGCGTGGACGGTACTACGCTGTTTTCATTAAGCCAGCAGCTACTCAGCCCAGTGTTGCTGCGCTGGAAATGAGAACAAGCTGGAGTTGCGGTGTTTACAGTAAATGCTGACGCCCACACTCCCGCAGGAATGACTCAAACAGGGATCGTCTCTTTCATCACGCCGAAAGATAACAGCAGAATCGTGCKCCTTACTGTTTAGATCACTTTCTTTTTACAAGTTGAGTTGATGTGGAAGTGAAAAGAAAAGGAGTTTAAAGGTTATTATCAGCTGTTAAAAGCCCAACTCCAGCTTATTCTATAGATTTGAGCCACGAGGAGGAAATGAGAGAAATGTGGTATCAGTTCAGGTGGAAAGGTTGCGCAAACCAAGACCTCTGTTTGGTTGGACCATTCCTCCTTTCACTGCACAAACTCTTCTTCTTCTGCTTGTTTTAGGACCAGAGTAACACAGAGATTCTCGTTGGAGTGATGTCCGCTGGCCTTCTGGTTTACAAGAACAGGGTACGGATCAACTACTTCCCATGGTGAGTGACACGTGCATCTGAGATTCTGTTGTGTCTGCTCTAGTACAAAACTAGAAGGAAAATTCAATTCAGTTTTCATTTTATATAGCACCAAGTCACAAAAACACAAAACTACACAAAAACTATAAACCTAAAGAAGCCAGCAGATTGTGCTGAATCACTTCATCACAGTYTCCCATCCTGAGCAGCTCACTGGCGACAGTAGAGAGGAAAAACTTCCTTTTAACAGGAAGAAACCTCCAGCAGAACCAGGCCTAGGACCAGCTGGGTTTGGAGGACAGGAAAGAGACTCAAACACAGGACTGGTCCAGGTCTAATTTCTTCTGGAAGAGACAAAAAGAAAAAAAAAACATGTTATTGATAGAAGTAATTACAACAAACATGTAGAGGAGAGAGACTAAAGACAACAGCAGAGTGAGGAAATGTGCTCAGTTTGTGCTCCAGCAGTCTAAGTCCATAGCAGCAGAAATGAAGAATAACTAGAGAAATTGCGTTTGCTGCGAAAATGCTAGTGTGAATGCTTCTTGCTGAAAACTTAAGCTCAAAGCTGCTGAAATTAAGCTGAAAATATTTAATGGCAATAGTGTTATTGTGAGTTCATTTTAAAAAGCTGACAGAGGGGAAAAACAACTTTGCAGAAAAAAAAGAGCAAAAATATAACTGAAATTGTAGAAAACCGCTAAAATAGCTGTAAATGGAGAAAGAACTGTAAGAAACAAATAGCTCATATTAGCAGAAGAATAGCAGACATAAGAGATAAAAGCTAAAATTAGCAAAAAATAAAATAAAAAACTAGCTAGAATTAGCACATGGTATGTAAAATGAGCAGAACCAGAACAAAATATTAAGGTTTTGTAAATATTTAGAAACATTTTAAAGGATTTTAAGCATGTTGAAAACAGATCCATTCACTTTCAATGGTAAAAAAAGTGGCTAAAAAAGTAAAAATATCTCCATCCATCCATCCATCCATCCATCCATTTTCTTCCGCCTATCTGGGGTCGGGTCGCGGGGGCAGCAGCTTCAGAAGGGAGGCCCAGACCTCCCTCTCCCCAGCCACTTCTTCCATCTCCTCCAGGGGAACTCCAAGGTGTTCCCAGGCCAGCCGAGAGACATAGTCCCTCCAGCGTGTCCTGGGTCTTCCTCGGGGCCTCCTCCCAGTGGGACGTGCCTAGAACACCTCACCAGGGAGGCATCCAGCATCCTTAACAGATGCCCGAGCCACCTCAACTGGCTCCTCTCGACGTGGAGGAGCAGCGGCTCTACTCTGAGTCCCTCCCGGATGACCGAGCTTCTCACCCTATCTCTAAGGGAGAGCCCAGCCACCCTGCGGAGGAAACTCATTTCGGCCGCTTGTATCCGGGACCTCGTTCTTTCGGTCATGACCCAAAGCTCATGGAACGAGTTAGATGCTGAAAAACGTACGGATTAAAAAAATGATCTGATTAAGGAAACCTAAGTCTAACTATATGATTTATCAAAAAGGAAAGTCTTCAGTCTAATCTTAAAAGTAGACAGAGTGTCAGCCTCACAGACAGAAATTGGAAGTTGGTTCCACAAGAGAGGAGCTTGATAACTGAAAGCTCTGCCTCCCATTCTACTTTTAGAAACTAGAGGAACCACAAGTAAGCCTGCAGTCTGAGAGCGAAGTGCTCTGCTAGGAAAGTATGGAACAATAAGATGTTTAATATAAGATGAAGTAAAATGAAAAGAGGAGTTGAGTGGAAGAAGTAAGGATTTTGTGCACAGTGTTGGTAAAAGCTTCACATGTGACTGTCATTTCTGACTTCTTAGCCACAGTTCTGTTTTATTTTTTTTTTCAGTGACACAGCTAGTTTATTTCCAGATACTGAATGTGTAAATGATAGCAGCAGAATCATGACGTAGATTTTAGTCAGGATAGAGCTTCAGCTGTTAATCCATGCTTTTTGAACAAACTCGGGCGCCTGAAAACAAACATTTATGTCAGATGTTTCATTAGAAAAGCGTGTGATCGGAAATTTCAGTTCTTGCTCCTTTGCGGCCGGGATCACGGTCATTTAAACCGCTTAAGAGATGGTTTGCTCTTTGGCCAGCAGAAATCCTGGCAGCGATCAGCTGACAATGAGTGTTGATGGAAAACATTGCTGAGAAGCACTTTATATATAAAAAAAAAGCATCCTTTGTTGATATTTTCATCCTTTGTCATTTCCCGTGAAGTGGAAATTCAAACTGTGCGTTTCCTTGTTCCAATTTTACCTCTGTGCCCGTCAGTCTGCTGCCAGCTCCACTTGAACTGCCTCCAGGAGCTCCTTCTGCACAGAACGGCTGCGTAATAGTTTGGACAAACCACTCACATGGTGATTATCGACGACGCACGTTAATATTTAAGCTTCGGTTGAGCTGCAGAATAATACATAATGATTCCTGCAGATTCTTCCGGGTGGAGGATTTTGCGTTAAACTGGATTTCCGGTTTCCTGGAAATATTACAGGCATCAAATCTGCTTCTGTTCTATGACCTCCTTTTGCTTCACACACACTCTCTCTCTCTCATCAGTCATTATGTCACGATTTCTCTCCGGAAAAAAATCAATTCTTGGAACCCCTCTCCACACTGCCGCTGCACGGTGGGAAACTAAATTCTGCTGGGTGCAGAGGAGAACCGAGAAACTCCCCAAATTTCAGAGCACCATTCACTGGGAACTTTTTTTTGTTGTTGTTGTTGCTGTTGCTGATTTGATTGATTTTGTTTTCCTGGGGATAATAATATATGCAAAGACAAAGTCGGTGTGCGGTCCTTGCTGGGTTAACCGTGTCAGATGAGTTAAATTTAGACACCCATGGCGGTGTCCCCGACAGCTGTTCAGCCCTGAGAGTGTGACAGAAGCAGAGAAACATAATCTCTGACTCTGTCGTCCAGCCGTACGCTCTCTGGCTCTTTAACTTATCCTCTCTTTGTCGTCTAATTAACAAAGCCTTGCCGCTTCAGTCGTGTCGCTTCTCATATTGTCTCTTCTTTCTTCTTCTTTTTTTCTCCTTCAGCCTCAGTTAAACTGTAAGATACAAAAAGACGTTTTGCCTCTTTTCTATTTTTGTTTGCAGCAGCCTGACAAATGAGCCACACTTAGATGGGGCATGAATCACGTTCTGCCCGTGTGTGTGTGTGTGTGTGTGTGTGTGTGTGTGTGTGTGTGTGTGTGTGT